TCAAGGTCGTATTGGGGTCGAATCCGATGTTTGGACGTTTCGGGTGGTAAGGTTAAAAAAAGTTTTGAAAACTACTTTCCTCATTTAAGGAATGTTTTGAATTTTTTTCCTTACTTAAATGTATGAAAGTCATTTTTTCTTAAATTATAGGAAAATAAGACTATTTGCAAATAGGCATAATTAGCTAGTAATGTACATAAGCATAATTAGCAAGAAATGTACATAGGCATAATTAACTAGTAATGTACATAGGCATAATTAGCTTGCATATATGTAGGAATCCCTCTTTAGTTTCTTTCCTAAGTTAGCACCTAATGATCTTGCTTACCTGTTGGACTAAGAGCCTGTTTGGATTGGCTTTTAGCTTTTGACTTATAATCCAAAAGCTAGAAGTTAGAAAGCAAGTGCTTTTAACCACTTTGTTAATTTACCAAACACTCCAGAAGTGCTTAAAATTTATTTTGGCTTTAAAGCACAGAAAATAAGTCAATCCAAATAGGCTCTAAGATCATCAACTTCCATTCGATTACAATACTGAAGAAAATTTCAAGAAAAAACTATAGATTTTTGGGCAAAAAGATCAATTTCACACTTGGATTTGTCCTTACAACAATTCTAAAGCTTCTTGTAATTGTTACTTCACCGAATTTATTCTTTTAGGGAATTTCATCAATATTTTGGAGAGAGAAACATATCATGATTACTGTACTCCGAAAAAATATTAACAGATAGTGTAATACAAACAAAAAGTCTAAAATGTGTTGAGTTGTAGCACCTAATCTGCTAAAACTCAGCAAATCAAATCCTTTTGTCGGTTTTCCTTAGATTGGATGTGAAAAAACCGGCAAACTTTGAAATTTGGGGCATTTACATCCTCCAACTCCAGAGATGGGCAATTGAAAATCATCATCACCGTGCGGGAATTCAAACCCTTTAGGGTTTTGCTCGTTGGTTTTGAGGTTTCAAGGGACATTGTGGTAAGGGAGAGAGACGGAGAGGGAGTGATCTAAGTCATGAAAAGGAAGAGCTTTGAAACTTACCTTCTTTATTTATTTTTTCTTATTTGCAGAGGCGAGTTCTTTTCCTATTTGATGGACAAGTCCCACATTGAAGATAAAACACTCCCTAATAACAATGACTCGGTATCCACAAAGAGATATGTTTGCTCTACTACTATTTGTTTGGATGGTTGGTACATATGGAGGCAAGTTGTTTTCCTATATGATGGTGAAGTCCACATTGAGGGTAAAATACTCTCCATAATAAATAAATGTGTCATTTAACTTGGCCTCAACTAGCATCTATACCCTCCAACTTTGTGTGTGCACCAATAACAAGTAGCCACACGTGTACTACGTGGCATATACAAATAAGTTCGAGTATATCTCACGCGAATTGTCACGTGAGACTAACACAGAGAGATAAGGTTGCTCTATCGTTTTACAATTTGTTTGGATGGTTGATACAAATTGTTTCATAATGTATTGTATTATTTTTATGAATAAAATGTACGGATATACTGTATACCATACATCAACAATTTGAAGGACAAACCTAACAGAAAAAGTAGGATACAGGGTACCTAGAGCTAGTATGAAGGTAGGTTAAAAAATAAAATAAAATTATTAGATAATTTTTTATTTTTTGGTCGAACGACCACATTTTATGCAAAAACATCTTGAGCATCATTGCAACATCTCATACAACTAGTCTCAACTTGAACCAAAACTCTCCCTGTAAATGATATATTACCCCTCTTAGATTTCATTAGCTCCCTCAATATGGCTTAGCGACCATTCTTTTGCTTGTGGTTAACTCCCTGATTAAATACGTGTTTCTGTTCTCAGGAGTTAACCATATTTTTTGTGTATGTAATTTGCATATCCTTGATGCCTTTCTAATACATCTTACTTGATCAAAACAAAACAAAAAACTTGAACCAAAACCTATACTCAAACCTCCCCCTATCTATACAATTCCCCTTGTTGATATATTCCCTCTATCGAATTCCTACCTTTACAATTTGCCTCTCTATTCAATACATCAAAAATTCTATATTTACACTCCATTTGCACTTGCTTACTGATCATTTGGAGTCTGGGCACATCTGTGGTGCCACAGTGCTTAATTCCTTGCTTTCCATATCCCATAGATTAGTGCTGCCACCACAGCCCATAAGAGTGATCTATTTATTTTCCCTTTTGCACTTCTAGGCATTCCGCATCATAATCGATTCACATCAGCATTGTTGGTAATGGATCCCCAACCAGCTCAATATCTCCCGCAAACAAGTTTGTGAAAACATACACTCAAAGAACAAATGTTCTATATTTTCAGGATGGTCACCACATAACAAGCAAGATGTATCCTGGCATTTATTCATCGATCTTAGCCAATCTCTCCCTTGTCAACAGTCTTCTATGCATTGCAATTAAGCTAATGAAACTATGCTTAGGGATAGTTAATTTGCCCCATACTCCTTTCCACCATGACATTCAGTTCAACCCCGATTCTATACTTATAGCCACTTGCAATAGAGTATTCCCCTATGGGTTGCAACCATCCATTCCCATTATAACCAGCAACAAATTTCTCCTTAAAAAACTGTGTATTTTCTTCCAAGACAGCCACCACGACCCTTCCCTACCCTATAGCACCACATACACGTGGGACTAATGTTCCCTTATTCCAAGCCACCCCCACCAAAAAAAAGGCCTTTGTTGTATTCTGCAAGGATCATCTATCACATTAAGGGTGCGTTTGGTACGAAGGAAAGAAAAATGTTTTCCTAGAAAATATTCTCCCAGAAAACCAGTGTTCCTTACTTATTTTCTAGTGTTTGGTAAGTAAGCAAGAAAATATCATCATAAGAGCATCTCTACATTATCTGGAAAAACACTATGGAGGCAGTATGCAATGGGAAGTGGGGGTTCGGGGGTGGTGGCGGGTGGGATGGTCAAGGGGAAGGGATTGGAGGGATTGGGTGAGGAGACAATAAACTTGGAATGTCACTTATCCAATTTGTTTTCTCTACTTCCGTTAGGGAAGTCATTTTCCTCATTTTTAAAGAACTAGTTTTCCTAGAGAAAATGGTTTCCAAATATATTGACCAACCAAACATAGGAAAATGTTTTCCTCCACACACACACCCAAAGGCAACTTCCAGCAAATATATAATTGCAAAAGGAGAAAATTCCACTAAAAGGTTTACAAGAAAACACAACTACCAGATAAACAAGCAAAGCAATATTTACCTCAAGTGGCGCGAATGTTCCCTTAAATAGACTCAAAACAGAAAAACTGCAAAAGAAGTTGATCAGTATCTGGAAGCAACAAGTAATGTTTGATAAACTGAGAAGCAATTCAAACTCTCTTCCCTAAGGTAGTATCTAGCCAAAAAAAAAATTCTCATTATAAGCTAGTGTCATTCGAAAAGGAGAGGAGCATCATCAGTATCTAATTAGTCTGAACTAAGAGATCAAAAACAATCACCTGAAAAAGATTGTTATGCGTGTCTATGTCAATTTATCAATTTATCAATTTACATTTCAATGAAACAAAGGGGTAGAAACAACAATGTAGACATCAAAATAGAAGCGATATTCGTCTCAGCTTCATAACTTGTTAGCGTAAATCAAATGGAGAAATTTCAAATGCTAAACTTCTAAAGACAAATGAAGAATAGTATAAGGCAGCTACACAAAATTAACCAGAATTAGTTAGATAATATATTTTAACATATAACAATTCTCTAAGGATTTTTACCAGACAACATCATACATTCAAAAAATGAGCACCGCCATTAAATTCTTCATCGATCTAAAGGATATAACACATGCTTGATTTCATCAACTTTCTCTGGTCTAACTCATCAAGAGCAAGGTTTTTATTGACCCAAACCAACAAAAGTACCCAACGAAAGTAGACTCTTTTTCTTTAGTTTCTCCAGAATCTTCTGGCTGTGTTCACAATAACACAAGTGGCAGGAATGATTTCAAATCGATAGAAATAACAACAGCTTCTTTAGTAAAAGTTCCAAAAGCATTAGAAAGCAAGAAGGAGTAAGCTGATTCGAACAACTTTTCCTGTTGCCTCATTTTATACAATTATACTCATCTATTTTTCCCTTTTGAGTTTCTTTTTTCCTTTTTTAGGGGGCGGCAAACAACCAAAGAGTAGGCTTAGATATCTACCTTGGAGTACCAGTATGGAGATCTAGCAAAATCAGAATGCAGCATTTTAAGAACAGTTAAAACCAAATCAAATGACATAGAACCTGAAACCACTAAAAAGCACATTCATACACACTTTGAAAAAAAAAATGTATATAATTTGAGCAGAATAAAATGAAGCCAAGGAAAAAAAGATGAAGCAACATGGTAAAATACTACTCCCTCCGTCCAACAATACTTGTCCACTATACTAAAAATTGATGTCCAACAATACTTGTCCACTTTATGAAATCCATGGATAATTTTAAACTTAATTCCTAATTTACCCTTATCATTAATTATAGTCATTTCCTATTACATTTTTCAAGATAGTAAAATTACCCTTCTATTTATAGTTTCTTAAGGGGTGTGCCAAGTCACTAGTGGACAACTATTGTTGGACAGAGAGAGTATAAATAACTATGATTTTCTAATATGTGAATATAAATAAAGCTTAGAGGGAGAAGGGAGCAAGGTGGGGAATCAGGGAGTAGAAATAAGTATGGGACTCCACAGCCTCACACACATCAAGCGTTAAGCTTTAGGACAAAGCCGGCAAATACTCCTTAGCACATACAATAACAGATGAAAGCAGAGATGTTAACTCACCCAAATGTGAATACGGCGGAGCTAACAAGAGAAACTCTTTGCCTGAAATCAAAGTAAATGGCAGACGAAAAAAGGGAGTGGGTAGGAAATATTTAATAACATACAAATTACAATAATCAAGATTCATGAATAGTAAAAACTTAAAACTAGAGATGAAAACAATTCTTATTTTTATTTTTATTTTTAGAGGAGGAAAACATAAATAACATATCTTCAAGATATCACCAACCAGATGGTAAATGTGCAATTACAGATTTTTCTATTCAAATTGTACGCCAAAAACAACTGATAAACCACAGAACAGTAAAAAATACAACAAATCAACTCATTATCCCTGGAGATTGGATCCACCTCATCTCCTAGACCTTTGCTTCGCCTTCGAGTCAAAATGGTGAGCTCTAAGCTTTTTCTTTTTCGTAAAAATTGTCTGTCCACCAGCACCTTCTCTAAATGGCATACCCATGAGAGCCAACAATCTGTGTGCCTCTTTATCTGTCTCAGCTGTTGTTGTTATGCAAACATCCATTCCTCTTGGCTTACCAAGAGCATCATAACTTAGCTCTGGGAAGACACTCTGTTCACGAAAGCCAATGCTATAATTTCCATGACCATCAAAGCTATTTGGGTTTACGCCTTGAAAGTCCCTCGTTCGAGGAAGCCCCAAATTAATTAACCGGTCAAGGAACGAATACATCACATTCCCTCGAAGTGTAACAGCAATTCCAAGCGGTTGACCTTCTCTAATTTTGAAAGTAGCAATAGCATTCTTAGACCTAGTCTTCACAGGCCTTTGCCCTGTGATTAATGCCAAATCATTCATTGCTGCATCCAAACCCTTGGAATTTTGTGCAGCATCTCCTATACCACAATTTACCACAATCTTTTCGACCTTCGGAACCTAAAACACGGTTTTTCCACATCCCATATCAAATCAAATTAATACTAAAAAATAATACTAGATTTTGAAGCAATAGGTCAATGCAACTAATTTTCACTGTGATTTCTCACTTCCCAATTGATAATAGTGTCAAACAAACTAATTTCTCAGCATTTCAACTCTAAAATTCAACATTTTATGAACAAACAAGAAATATAAACAGTGAAAATTTGTAGATATAAGTTGTAAAATTTGAAGCTAAAGAAGTACATATGCTTTGAAATTGAAATTAACTTGAAAAAGAATATTTGAAAATTGAATTTGTGTTTGGACCTGCATTGAAAATCTGTTCAATTCCCCCACCTTTATTTTCTCTTGCCCAAACCCTAATTTTTATCTGTTTTGAAAAAAAATCCATAGACAAACGACTCCTAAGTATACCTGAAGAATATTGGTGTAACTGAATTCTTCCTTCAACAATGGCACAATCTTTTCGAGGTAATTTGTTTTCAGACGATTAACTTTTTCAGCTTCACTTTTATCCACCAGTACTATTGCTGAAGCTTTCACCGTCAATTTATTGGACGACCGGAGCTTAGGGTTTCCGACCGGCAATCGAACGGAGTACGCCGGAAACTCAGCATTGTAGAAAGAGGAGGCCGTGGAGTGTAGAAGAAGAGGAGAAGATGCCGCCATTTCACTGAGCTTTTTCTGTGTGTGTGTGAATTTTTAGGATAAGATGTTCTTTGTGGATATAACAGAGTTCTCTCTAAAAAAAATTAGTTTACGAGTGTATAAGTCAAAAATTCGGACCCGTTTTGCCATAGATTTTCCAAATAAAATTTGGGAAAAATTTGATAAATAGTGTTTGTTCATGCAATTTGTCATTTTTTGGCAAATAACCCAAATTCCCAAATACTAGAAAGGTATTTGGGTCAAATCTCATTATTTGGGAGTTTTTAAAAATTCAAATTCTATACTAAACTTTTATCTTTTACAAAAACACATTCTATAGTAGTTTTTTGCGTTGTATTACATAATTTTTTACGTGAACACCAAAATAGTGAATAAGAAAGTGAAGATATTTGTTATTGATAAAAATGATGAACAATCGACTTAGGATAACAAAGTTATATGTTTCGTCTACTTCACAATCTATGGAATGATGCTTGTTGCACTAACTCTAAACTATTATATTGCTCCAGTGTCATGGACACTACTTGTTATTTGTTGCAACGAAGATCCAACTTGTTGCGGAAGTCATGAATCTTGTTATTCTATCTTGCTATTTAATACAAACTTATAGTTAGTTTTGATAGTTTTAAAAACTTATGAATATAAATCACATTTCTTAAAAAAGTGAAATATGTTTCCCAAATATTATGGCCAAGCACATGGTGAAATTTTACCTAATTTTTCATCCAAATAATATTTGCCAAAAATATTTGAAAATCTATGGTCAAACGCTAGCTTAAAGTTTTGGGCTATAAATTATTGAAGGAAAAATTATAGAAATCTCACTTTTTAGTTTACTTATTACCATTATCCCCTATAAGTTTTACAAATCTCCAAAATTCCTCATTTTCGCGCATCAGATTAGTGTATCTCGCGCATCAGATTAATGTATCAGCGCTTATATTATTGTATCTCGCGCATCAGATTAGTGTATCATGTATAAAATGTACATCATATTAGTGTATCATGTATAAAATATAATGTATCTTACTTAACGATTAATGTATCTTGCGCATCAGATTAATGTATCAGCGCTTATATTATTGTATCCGTTTGAGGGATTTCTGTAATTATAAAACTTTTAAATGATATATTGTAATTTTGCCTTAAAAATATGTGATTTCTGTAATTTGAATGAAGATAGTATCAAATTTTATCGGTCGGACAAAATTTATGACCAAGAAAATAGTTAGGGTCTATAAGATTGGAATAGATGGGAGGTAGGCCCAAGTCTAAATTGGTTTTAGTGGGCTGGATAATTTTTTGAAAATTTAACGTCATAGTGGCCCATTTCATTAAATAAACCTAATCTTTATTATTTAGCCAGTTTCTTCACTGGCATGTCTTTGTTTACATTTATAGCCTAATTTTGCTCAATTCTTCAATACTTGTATTTACTTAGATTATTTGAACTTTGTTTATAATTTTTTTTTTTTGGATGAGTTTACCTTGAATGGAAAAGATGAAAATAGAAGAATCTCACATCTTGAATAGGATTGAAACTTCAAAAGTTGCGGTAGAGTAGAAAGTACGATTATATTCTTATTAGAAATTTCAGATTCGGACTTTTAGAATATAATTTCTTTTGATATATAGAAAGTATTTTACCTTACCTGAATTTTTTTTATATGATTCTTAATTAATCTGAGTTTACTAAGTAGAAACTCCAAAAGCATGTTCCCGATCACAACCTTGGAAACTCGGGCTTACTATTTATTTGGGGGTTCAATTATATTCCTAAAGATTTATTTACGTACATATTTGACTGCTCAATCAAAAATAATTATAATAATAGTGCAATTGTCTTTGGATTCCTACTTCAATCTATGAGAAATGTCATCTTTTCTCGTACATTTTCAAGAAAATTAAAGTTACCCTTTTTTGTACTTTGGCTCTAGGAAGAATATATATATATATATATATATAAAGTAATATTTGCCGTTGACCTTTAAACTCCTATAAAAGAACTAATTATAAAAAATGTTTTCTAGATGAACTATAAAGTTTTAATTGAATTAATTTATAAAATAAGTAGACTTCTCAAGCTTAGTGGAAAAAGTTATCCCTTGGAAAAAACAAAAACTGTTCCATGAAAAGGGGCCTAAAATTATACTTCTAATAACAATGGTACTACTCAGGAGTATCTTTTTAGTGTTTGCTTTTTAGTGTGTTATAATTTGAATTTGTGTCGGAAAGTCCTAAGTTGAGGTAAAATACGTTTTGATAAAAGCAATTTCATATTCATGACTCAAATTTTGAAAAAAAAGTTTCGTCTTCTAAAATTTGTTTATTGTAAATTTGATATATAAAATATTTGAGATTCTCCCATCGTTATTTAAAGGTCATGATTTTAAGCATATGGAAATAGGAAAAAATAATGTATGAAGTGTTGCTCTCAGAAATAAATCTTACAATTACAAATTTAAATTTAATCGAGTCTTGATATAAATTCAAAATATCGAGTTGTTAAAAAAAAAAAAGTTTGGACCACCTTTTGATAGACTTTCTTTTTATCTATCTTGTTCTTTGGTTAGACTCACTCGTGACTCAATTGATAATTAATAATCATAGTAGTACGTACTACAAGGACCATGGAAAGGTAAATATAGTATATGTCAAAAAAATAATTGCCAACAAGTGATTTTTTAAATATTTTTTTATATCCTTAATCAAAAGATTTTACGCTCGAGTCATACGGATTACATAATTATTCGATTAGTGAATGTTTTATCTCTAATATTACATGTTTTTTAGGCATGAATCTTAAATTCTTATGATCAAATATTTTGAAGCTTCATTTCTTGAACTTATAAAAACTACAAAGAATTTAATATATATCAAAATAAGAATAAATCAAAAGACAATAGCGCGCTATCAAAATATTACACTAATGGAGACACATAGAAAGGTTATACATATAACCTATGACACTGAAAAATTATATATTTCTCGCTTCAACTTCACGAATGGAAGAAAGGCGAGAACTTAATATGCACGCTCTATGCTTTTTGTCAGATTTCTATATATCATAGAATATAATCACTCCAATAATTGAAGTTATTCTTCTTTATTTATGAAAAACACAATTTTACTTTATTATTTATGAAATGATGCTTGAGATTTCAATTTTCCAAAAAGAAAATAATAATATAATAATTAAATTTTTTAATTTTCAAAAAAGTGCCTCTGACAAATTGTGATCTGCAGCTAAAAAGACTAATCAAATCAAAACAATCAAATAAATAAAGTTTCTGCAAAAACCACCATCGTTGACTACTGCATTATATTGGTCATTTTGACAACTAGTCAACACTTGCTTCATTGTTTTTTGTGCCCTACTTTTTTTTTCTAAATTAAAAGGCTACAATTATTTCCTAGCTAGTACTAATAAAATAAAAGTACTATTATATATAGTTTATAGGAAAAATAAATAAAACAAAATAATATTTAGGGTCTTCGTAGACTTGAAAGTTAAAATTAAGTAACCAACACGTAGTTAAAAAAAAATAAAAAAAATGCATGGCTAATTTTTTTTTTTGTCACCAACTCTAGACATAAAGGTCCCACGTTAATTAAGAATTATATTAAGTTGAAAAATTAAAAGGGAGAGTCCGATGTGAAAAATATTGTACATTAGTAAAGTTCAGAAAAGGGCCATATTTTAAGCGTGTGATGTAGAAATATTTATACTAATATAAATATCAGTGACTATTTATATAGTTTAAACCTATGATCGGTAAATTATACGAAAATTATTTTATCGTTTCATTAATAATATCCGACCGGCGAATGATGAGTAGTTGAGATTTTCTCTAAAATATCCAATAATTTAATTAATTGGTAACTAGAGGACATTAATTAGGTAGTTTCAATCTCTGTTGAATTTTTTATACATTGTTAAAACAGTCATCATTATTGTTCTTTAACCTTAAAAAATAGTAGAAATTAACTATGAAACTTCGTTAAATAACTCTTTTTTTCTTATAATTCTTATTAATTTATCATTCAATAACTTAGCGATAATTTTTTATAGTTTATAAGCAATAGATGACATTTATCACTAATTTATAAAAAAATTTAGTGTTATATTATCTTTTCTTTTCTACATATATAACCTATAAAAATGGATTTTTTTTCCTCCTATAATACATACAAAAAAAAAAAATTAAAAAATAATCAACATTTTTGGATATTAGTTTCATGTAATACATTGCAAATTTCTTTCTATATTTTTTTTTTATAAGAAATATGAAAATAATACATTTAAAAAAAAATCTTTACACAATCATTTCCTTCTATTTAAATATATATAAATATAAAAGGACAATCAATCCATTTCAAAAAAATTATCTTAAAAAGGAAATATATCCAAAATAATGCAAAGTAAAAAAAAAATGCCAGCTTGCTAATAAGATAAGGTTCAAATTTTACATTATTGTATTTTTGTAATATAAAAAAAAAAAAAAAAAAAAAAAAAAAAAAACTTGCTAGGACTAGTGACCAGTACTGTAATGGCTTAACCCCATAGCTGCATTCATTGAAGCAAACTTTGCCAATTCTTGTGGCAAAAATGGCTGACCCCCTTCATTCCCCATGCCTAAAAAATCTCTAGTAAGACTATTATGCAAGTTGAAATGAACAGTTTGATTATGCATGCCACCTGTTTGTAATAATGCCTGATCCAAATTGATTGCTTTAGAATTAACAGATAAATTCATATTTGGACACCCATTGATGAGTATATTCTCTGTTTGATTGTAATCCTCTGTTTGTTTTGCAAAAGCTTGATGAATTTCATTGTTGTTGAAGATTTGTGTTGTGTTGTTTGATGAAGGAGAAGATGATGAGTGCATTACTCCAAATGTGTTGGAAAAGTAATTTGGAGTGCTTTTTGTTGACCCCATTTGTGCTGCTTTTTGTAGAAGGGCTGTTGCTGACATAGGTATTGGGGGATTTGAGGTTGCAGGGGTGTTGGTGGTGGTGGTGGTGGGGGTAAGTATTTGGTTG